GGGGACGACTTAAGAGTGGGCAACTAAATCAAAAGCGCGTGTGGAATTTTTGTTGCGCTGGTATCAAGCCAGAGTGCATTGCGAGCTACAATCACCCTGGAAACAACGATGGGCATAACTTGGCTGCGCCGAAGCAGTTCCGCTCAAAGGAGATTACAAAGAGCAGTGTGGTGGATGACATGGTGGCGTCGAATAAATTGCTCTATCCTCCTGGCAGCAAGGGACCTGACCACTGTATTGTCATCAAGTACATGCCATACGTGGGCGACAGCAAGCGTGCCATGGATGAGTACACGTTTTCTATATTTATGGGTGGGTCACAAACGGTGGTGCTGCACAACACGTGTCAAGACTCTCTGTTGGCAGCGCCGCTTATTATTGATCTTGTGGTCTTGACGGAGCTAATGGAACGAGTCTTTGTAAAGATAGAAGATGGGGAATGTGAGGAATGTGATGACACTTCGGAGTCATCGTATGTACAAATGGATACAGTGCTGTCGATTTTGTCGTATCTCCTAAAGGCGCCATGTGTACCCGAGGGCACACCCGTGGTGAATGCATTGAATCGGCAGAAACAAGCCATTGATAATTTGCTACGCGCTCTTGTGGGTCTTCCGCCGGATAACAACATGCTGCTGGAGTGCAGCCTCCCTTCCTTGCGCGGCATGAGTCAACAGTAAGCATCACGGAGAGAAGGAAGCGGTGGGCACAGTGTCTTTTTTAACGTTTGTTTGTTTGTTTGTTTTGTTTTGTTTTTATTTTTATTTTTATTCTTTTTTTTTTTTTTTTTTTATTTGGGTGGGAGAGGGAAAGGAGAAGGAGCCTCCCGAACCGCATGAGGGCTCTTATGTCTCTGGCTTCCCATGCATTTGGATCGTGAGGTGTCACAGAGCACAGATGCATGCACACAGAATAGAGAAAGAGGAGGAGGGGATGACATTTCATTATTGCGTCGTCTCCCTCCCTCCCTCCCCAACGGCAAACAGGCAGGAAATACTCATTTTTTACGTTTTACCGTCTATTCTGTTTATCGCAGGATTCCGTGTGGCCTCTTCCTTCGACGAGCGGAGAATTTAGTAATGGAAACAACTTTTCATGAGGCGGGACGTTATCATTTATTTTTGTTGTTTTTTTACTTCGCTACTTGTACGCTGCTTAAAAATATAGCTGTAGGAACGTGGCATTTTCCATTTTTCTCTTGAGAATAAATTGAGGTCTTTATTTTTATTTATTTGTATGGACCATTTTGATTATGTATTTTTCATAATTTCTCCGGAGTGTTGAGGAAACACGAACTGAAGCCGAAAAAAAAAGAAAAAAAAATTTTTTAAAAAAAAACGGAATTCATAAGCAACGGAAGAGATCTTATATCGTTGAACCCTATGATACATTTCTCCCCGTGTGTGTGTGTGTGTGTGTGTATTTTCCAAGAGCCTGTGAAAGCACATGTGACCCAGCCCTCACCGTTCCACGTGGGCGGCGGGTGAAAGGCGCCTTCAGTATTTTCTTCCTCCATACCCACGCCTTTTTTCTCGCTAATTAATGATGCTTTTCAAAAAAAAATGAGGATCCGTCTTGGATTCTCTATTGAGCAAAAAAATAAAAATAAAAATAATTATGGATGTGGGGAAGAGAGATAAGGAGAATAAGGAGAAAACGAAATTTGTTTACTTTCTTATCTTTATATATTATAGGGTAAAAAAAAAAAGGCAATAGAATGTCTGGGAAAGGAAGGTGGGGCGAGTAAAAGGCCGGAGTTGTGAATGCTGCGTGGGTGAAGGAACACGAAAAGGTGATTCAAGGAGAAGAAGGGGACGCATACGTGCATGTATCTATTCTTTCACCTTTGCTGAATGCAATGTCTGTCGCCACCATCCCTGCGTCCTTTATGATTGAGACACACGCAAACACACACCACCTCTCTACTCATTTCATTTCATGTGTCTCTTCGTCCTTGTAAGCCTTCTTGTTGTTGTTGTTTTTGTACTGCTGGATTTTTCTGTCTCCTTCTCTTCTCTTCTCTTCTCCCTATGGCTCTTTCTTGCAGGATATTTGGACTCACGCAAGGAAGTTGGAAGATCGGCGAACTTTCTTCTCTTCCCATTAAACGTAAATAAGTTTAAACGACAAATCCTTAGCTTTCCTCGCGGGAACTCCGCTTCAGGCGCAGTGCAGTGAAGTTCCACGCGAGTAATTATTTCAAAAGAAACAATTAACAAACAAACAAACACCTCAAATAAAAGAGAAGGGAAAAAAAGATGCCGATGCGTGAGGATTACCCCCGCTACCCACGGGACGTCAGGGAGAAGCAAATTGTTTCCCGGCCGGCACGTGAACGAAGATTGGCAGAATTGCACCTCACCGCCTTCCCAAATGTCTTGAATGAGAGCGCAATGGCGGCACCCGACACTGAACATCCACTGGAGGAAAAGAAGAAGGGGAAGAAGAACGATGAAATGAATGCCGCAAAAGTGGTGATGGAGGAGAGGGCCGTTGCACCCATGACAACCAACCAGCTCTTGGCACGCATGGTGGAGATGGCGTGGGAGGAGAAACGCAAAAATGCGGCATCCGGCGAGAAGCAGTCGCTGACAGCTCCCGACGGACGCTTCAGACCCCACAATGTCTCCTTCGATCGCAGCTCGACATACCGCCTGGATTACTGCAACAAGGAAGTGCCTGGCTTCCATGAGCGAGTGCGTGTTATTCCGGATTACACAAAAGATTGGACCGAAACAGACAAGTCAAACATTGAACATGCAAAAAAACTCCCCTACCTGACGATGCCCGAAAGTTTGCTTAAGAAGCGTCCGACCGTATACCGACATGATTACACCCCAAGCGCGGGCAGAGATGACTACCGGACTCTCCCGTACAATACAAACCTGCAGGACCTCAGCACCTCCTATGCGTACTCTGCCTACTCTCCGGAGGACCCTGCACGTGTGATAAAGTACGACAAGGCGGTCGCCTCCTGCCGCAGCCCTCGTTGTTTGTTGTGGAAAACATTCAGTCCGCGGGGGTCTTTCATGGTCAAAAGGCACACAGAATCGACTGCCGAGGAGTTACAACGATTGCGAGAGCTTCGGCGTCTTCAATTGTCGAAGTCAAGCGATAGCAGCACCTCGCCAACGAAAAGTCCAACGGAAGGTTCAACTTTGACGAAGAGGACGGTTGTTATACCAGGGATGCGAGGAATGGGTTATCGTCAGGCGCCAAAGGAAGGTAAGGACTACATTTACCTTCCTCGGGATCACTTCTGCCATCAGGTGGTCTATGACTACTAACGCGGAAGTATATATATATATATATATATATATGCTCTTTCTGCAACCAGGTTGAGCTAAGGAAAAATAACAAACAAAAGGCCGAAATGGACTTGCTGGGGTGATGGAGAGAAAGAGAGAGACGGCACCACATCCGATTGAATCATTTACATAGATGTATACTAAATGTTGTGCATGTATTCTAGAAAAATAAATCTTGATGGCATTATTTTCCTTGTATCCGATTTTGTATTTCTTTGGTTCTTTTGGTATTACATGTATATAGAAGTAAGCGCATATGTATACATGTTATTTTCTTTCTTTTTGTCGTCTTTGAATATTTGTTCTTTGCAGGAAAAGAAGAAAAAAAAAAAATTTCAATAAAAATTTCTTTTTCAGGTCCGTAATGACGACGGGGAAGTCACACGGCTCAGGGGTAACACGCGCCTGTTGGCAGCGGATGCTAACGAATGAATTTAGAGACAACCCTGATGAGCGTCTCAAGCTGTACAGTTCCCTTGCCAATATCGCATTTAAGAGGACAGAACACCCCTCGGATAGTTGGACAGCGGTAATGTTAAAGGCAGCACAAGATTCCTGGTCTCGTATTCGCCAACTTGGGAGAGAAAACATTCTTCGCGAGATGAGCACTGAGGTGGGCGTGCCAAACAAAGACTACTCCAAGAGAGTTTTGAGTGTACTCCTTAGTAAATGGCCTTGCTTGGAGTACTGGTATGAGAGAGAAGGGTTTCTACTGCTACTTCTTGGATTGTTGTCGACCAAGACGGAAGTGGTATCTGACGTGAGAGTGTTGTCCCAGATATTGCTGCGAGTGGTGTTGCCAGCTCTGTTGGACCCTCAGGTTTCTTTACGCGAGGTGGCAGGGAAGCTGATGGTTCAGATTGCCGGGCTAAGTAGAGAACTTGCTGTCTTTATACGAGACTACATGTTGGAAAAACTTGAAATGCCCCTTGAGGAAAAGAAGGAGTTTGTTACCTGTGAGGTTGAAGGCCTTCTTAGCGGTACTGCGATGCTCATGGCTCAGTTCCCGAACATATTCCATAGCGAGTGGTGGAAAAGAATGCAGCCCCTTTTTCAGCAACTCGCTATTCATTCTGCTGCTAGCGTTCGTCAACGAGTGGCAGGGTTGTGGGCGTCACGGTCTGTGGAATCCTTTGAAGTGCTGTGCATGGCGATGGTGCGAAAATCAGAATCGCCGTCGGACGGCGACGAATGGTGGAGGATGGTGGAAGTACTCCTCATGGCACTGCAGGAGCAGTTGACACACTTGTTAACCCTTTCTAACAAGGCGGTAGCCGTGGGAGCGAAGGCAAACGGAATTTTCATTGCGGATTCCCTTCACGCATCTTTGCTGTTTGCTGAAATGCCGCAGTTTGAGGTGGCGAGAATGGGAAAACAGCTTGTGCCCCTCCTTACACAATTTTGGGTCCGCTTTTCTTCTTCTCTTGCCTTTGTGGAGGATTGTTGTGGTCCGAGGGCGAGGCGGTTCCGCAAACGTGTCCATTTTCCCAGTCTTTTTTTGCCAGAACTCATTTGGTTTCTGGCACTTTGGCGTTATGTGCACTCGCGTGATGATGTGGAAAAAGTGCGAAAAGCAGTAACACGGCATTTGATGCCTCTCCTCAGTGGGAAATGGGATGTGTCGTTGAATTCACATGAAACTGGAAAGGGCTTCTCGCAGTCTGAATACTCATTAGCGGTGTTAATGCTTTGCACTTATTTCCCCGATTGCTTTACAGAGTCTCTGGGCCGGGATCTGATGGAATTTGCCTTGAGCGAGGAGGCGTGGAAGAGGGCGCTTTCAGCAGATATAGACTCGGCAAGATACGGAGTTGATTTCGCCCTTTCCGTGAGAAGTGTTGGCGGGACAGTGGCGCACCTCGTGCCGGTTTGGCTTCAATGGCTCCCTGGCGCCTATGCCCATCAGCAATGCTTGATACTAGAAGCAGTAAAAATTGCCATTGGCTCGCCAAAGCATTGGGTGTCACGCAGACCGTTTTATTTTGTGTATCGTTCGGCCTTTGACGCACCAACGATACAGGAAGGAGGGGAAGATGTTTCGCGCGGATTCTATTGGCTCAAACTGCATTGTCCAACCGTGGCCTCCTTGCCGGAAGTAGCATGTTCTGCACTGGACACTGATCTTTCCGCAGGGGAATTCCCGGTGGAGGTACATGAAGTGGTGTATGAAAGTGTTTACGTCTCGAAGGGAACGGAACACTCTGTATTAAACATCGTGCGATCCCTCATGCAAATGGAGTGCGAGGCAACTCATAAAGCGGAATCTATCGCAGTTGTCTCAGCGGCGGTTATTGCTCGGCTTGAAAATGTCTCTCCGAGCTGGCGCGATGCATTGTCATTTTCTCTTGGCGGGAGTGGTGGTGCGTCTGACA